CATCCACATATTTTTTCCTAATTTTACATTAAATAAAAATTTATAAATTTAAAAATTATATTTTTATATATTTTTCTTAATTTTAAAATTAATATCGAGTCAAATTTCAATCCCAGGTATTATAACTCTCCCCCCTTAAAAGAAATTTGGTCCCTCAAATTTATCTCTCTCTCACTCAATCAAACAGTTGGGGATACTGGCTTCTGAAGTCTGATTCTACCTCCCATGTGGCCTCTCTCTGTGTGTGATTCTGTTATAGGACCTTAACAAAGGAAATTTTCCGGTTGTAGAGTACTCTTTTCTTTCGGTCCACAATACCCACCAGTACCTCCTCATAGGACAGATCCTTATGAAGTGAAATGGGCTCGTGGACCAAGATGTGAGAGGAGTTTGGGTTGTACTTACATAGCATGGTTACATGAACCACATTATGGACCCTGGACAGTTCTGGAGGTAGTGCTAGTCTGTAGGTGGCGGTACCAATTATATCTAAGATTTCAAATAGCCCAATAAACTGGGGATTTAGTTTTCTCATCTTGCCAAACCTACTAATTCGCTTGAAAGGAGTGACATTAAGGAACACTCGATCACCTTTCTCAAATTCCAAATCCCTCCTCCGGTTGTCTGCATAACTCTTCTGCCTACTCTGAGTCGTCTGAATGTTCTTCCTGATCTTAATTATTTTAGCTGTAGTCTCATTCACAAGATCTGGGTTGAATAATTTTCTATCACCCACCTCTTCCCAATAGATCGACGATCTGCATGGGCCGACCATATAATGTATCGTACAAAGCCATGTCGATACTTATTTGGTAGCTGTTATTGTAAGTGAACTCTATTAAGAGTAAATAATCATCCCAATGGCCCCCGAAGTCAAGAACACAAGCTCGGAACATATCCTCCAGTGTGCGGATCGTCCTTTTTGATTGTCCATCAGTCTGAGGGTGGAATGTGGTACTAAGAGACAATTTCGTTCCCATAACTTACCAAAAACTAGACCAGAATAGAGAAGTGAATCTAGGGTTCTTGTCGGATACTACTGTCACTGGCACTACATGTAACTTAACTATATTCCGGATATACATTCTTGCTACCTTGTCCAATTGGTCGGTTATCTTGATGGCCAAGAAATGGGAAGACTTGGTGAGTCGGTCAATAATTACCTAAATGACATCATATCTCGAGCGTGCCCTAGACAATCCTGTCACGAAATCCATTATGTTGTGTTCCAACTTCCACTCCAGAATTGGTAGTGGCTGAAGTAGCCCCCCTGAGCATTAATGTTCTTTATTGACTTGGTGAGACACCAGACACTTGAAAATAAAATCAGCCACCTCTCTTTTTATCCCGTTTCACTAAAACTGGGGTCGCATACTTTGATACATCTTAGTGCTTCTAGGATGCATGACAAACTTTGAACTATAAGCCTCTATCATGATGTCCATTTTCAGCTCATTATCACATGAAACACACACCTTGTCCTGAAAATTAAGCAACCCATCTGCAGAGACTCAAAATTCTAAATTTACTCCCTGTTTTACATTTTTCCTGAGGGTTACTAGGGTGGAATCGGCAGATTGGGCTTCTTTTATTCTCTGGATCAACTCAGATTGAACAGTCAGGTGGGCCAAACATATAACTCTCTTCAGATTCTGAAATAGTACCTATTGTACAGACCATATTACCTTGCATTCTGAAACCATTATGTGAGCTAATATACCTGCTTTTTTTTCGCTGAGTACGTCGGCTACTACGTTGCCTTTACCCAGGTAATACAAGATATTGTAATCGTAGTCCTTGGGGAGTTCTATTCATCATCTCTGACGCATGTTGAGATCCTTTTAAGTGAATATGTATTTCAAGCTCTTATGATTGATATAGATATGAAAAATCTCTCCATACAAGTAATAGCACAAAGTCTTCAAAGTGTGGATAATTACGGTAAGTTTTAAGTCATGGGTGGGGTAGTTTTTCTTAGGACTCTTCAACTACCTGGACCCATAGGCTATGACCTTCCCATGCTGCATCAGAACACAACTCAACCCCAGGTAGGAGGCGTCACCATAAACTGTATATCCACCTGTCCCGCTCGACAATGCAAACAAAGGTGTAGTAGTCAACTGCTTTTTTAGTTCTGACTCATTTCACAGTTCTTGTTTTACTCAAACTTGATGTTCTTCTTTGTGAGCCGAGTCAAATGAGCAATTGGACTAGAAAATTCTTCCACAAACCTGCAGTAATAACCTGCCATCCCCAGAAAGTTACAAATCTCCTTGACCGAGATCAATTTCTCCCAACCAAGCATTACCTCAACTTTTTCAGAGTTTATTGACACTCCATCCCTTGATATGATGTGCCCTAGGAAAATAGTCTGCTCGAGATAGAATCCACACTTACCCAACTTTGCATACAACTTCTTTTCTCTGAGAATCTATAAAATATGAGTTAGATGGTGAATGTGTTCCTTTTTACTTTTGAATAGACTAGGATATCATCGATAAATACAATGACGAACTAATCTATGAATTATCTGAAAATCCTGTTCATCAAATCCATAAAGATGACTAGTGCGTTAATTAATCCAAACGACATGACCATGAACTCATAGTGTCCGTACCTGGTTCAGAAAGCTGATTTGGGAATGTCTTCTGCCTTGATCTTTACCTAATGGTAACCTGAACATAGATCTATTTTAGAGAAGACCTAGACACCCTACAACTGATCAAAAAAGTCATCAATTCTGGGGAGGGGGTACTTGTTATTGATCGTGACCTTGTTCAGTCTCCAATACATAACCTTAACGTCCCATCCCCCTTCCTTGCAAATGTGACTTCAGCACTCCAATGGGACACACTATGTCAGATGAACCCACTATTTATAATTTATTGATATGTTTTCTCAGCTTTTTCATTTCGACACGACTCATGCAGTAAGAAAAAACTAAGATAGGCTGCGTGCCAGACTGAAGGTCTATGGTGAACTCAATTTTTCTATCCACTAGTAGTCTGGAAACTTCATCAGGAAACATATTCGGGAAGTCTCAGACTACCGGGATCTCTTAAATAAAAATTAATTTTCTTAAGTTTTTCTAGTGTAGAGAAAAAAATCGAGTTAAAGTGATATGTAATAAGAAAATTGCTATGAGGGAATAATATTTAAAAATTTTATTAGCTTGCAAATAACTCTTCGTTATGAGGCTTAAATACATTTTTCTCGTGGAAACAATCCATGGTGGCGTGATACATCGCTAACCAGTTCATTTTTAGAGATACACAGGGTCCCCTGTGTCAATCTTTATCAGGTCAATCATGGGTGAAATCGAGTCTCGTTGAAGAGGGGCCAGATGTTGTTGGGGAGGGACCGGGTGGCCCTGTAACGGTGCTAGATGATCAGGTGGGGGGCTCTGAATTGTATTGTAACAATGTCAGATGATACGATGGAGGAGCAAGATTGCTTCGAAGTGGCATTATATCCACTCGTTATAGGGGTGGCCCATAGTGTAGAAGTGGTGGAGGGTCAGACAGGTCCCTCTTCTCTTCCCTGGCCTTCTAGACAAAGATGAGTCTCTCTAAAATCTTGAAGAGGCAATCGACATCCTCTTGAAGTGACCTATCTCGGGTTTCCCTGTTCGTACTTCTTTTTCACAAAGAAGGGTTGGGCGATAGTTCGTATTTAGTATTTTTAAGTCTTTGTGTAAGGAATGAATGCGGCTCTGATACTAACTATAAAGGTCCGGAACTTAAAAGGAAATAAAGACATGAATTAAATACGGAAGCATAATAATAGAGTTAAGGTTTACATTCCTTACATAATAATTTAAAATGCCAAATAGGATTACGAGAATGTCCCTCATAAAGAAACAAACGAAAATTAAAAAAATAAACGAAAAATAAACAACTAAGCATCTTAGGACGACCTTCACTAGCTTTTAAAGGAGTCCGGATGGTGAATTATTCACAACTCTTTTGTTAATCGAGATTTGGGTCTTGATCTTCTTGATATGAAATAGTTAATGAAAAGGTGAGCTACACTACCATAGTAAGAATATCACACTACTCACCGATACAGAACTGAAAGTTGGTAAAAATCATAAAAACAACCAATAAAGCTCTTAATTTAAGTAAATTCATTTATCATAAGTAAAACTATTTATTGCATATTTACCGTTGCGAGATTTTCAAAACCAACCTATAGAGACAATAGCTCAACAACATCATAATCTCATATTCAAGTAAGTAAGAATAACAACTTTTCTTTTTTATTTACTTACTGGTATCTACGGGGATCCATAGGGATATCTCACTACGCGTGAACAAATATCCAACCTTATTAACTAACCGGCCGTCCCCATACACCGTCCAGTATGAGCACCAAAAATACCATCCCTCAATATCTCGTTCGGAATGAGACGACATTCACTGTAGGGTTCCCTATGTACCCAGTCGGTCCACCATCTCCCAAGATATCCAGTAAGGCTACCATTCATTCATTCATTTAACCAATCAATTTTCTGTTTACATTTGATTTTCAGTTTCACAATTTAATCATAAATCAATGCAAGACAAACAATACGTGCATCAAGGAAACACAATTGACTCATTTTACAAATTCTAGTATATTATCATGCATTTAAAGCTGTAAAATCAAACAATCGGTTATATAGGACAACAATAATATACTAATAACTTGTAATTAATTCTCGAAATTTTTTAAATTACACAAAATACCGTATTATTAATAATTAGACTTCAATTCTATAACAGGGAATAAGGTGAGGGATTCTTACCCGAATCAGTGTCCGAAACACCGAACTTTTAGCTGCGTCTACTTGCGGTCCTCCGGTTTCCTAAATTTTCATGCGGAGGTTAAAACACGCTTTACATACATAAAAATATCCCAAAAAATTCAAAATCGGTGTTAAAAACTTTTTCTGACCAATTTCAAAATTCCAATATGGCGGCACCGCCGTGCTCTGGCGATGGCAACGCCGGTTTGCCTCGGATTGGCTGTTTTCGACTAGTTTTGGCCGGTTTTAAACTCATCCCTGCGAGAAAATTACGTTAGGGGCCCTCGGTTAGCCGAAAAAAGTCAAAAAACAAAAACTTACCGGCGACCAAATTTTTCAGTACGACGGCTCCGCCGGCTCACCTTTGTGGCTGAGCGTTTTTCTTCGGTCAACTTGTAAAAAATAAAATGGTGAGCACAATGATGGAAAAATCGCATGAAACAGCAAATGGGCTCATCAGAGGTGATTTTTGGTTTTGCCCCCCGGCGACGGCACCAGGGTTTTCCCACAATTTTCGGTTCATCCATCGTTCTTTTTCCTCTGATTTGGCCATGGGGGTGTTCAAATCAAATTCCAAGTGGATATGAGAATTTTTATATTTTTTGGCGGTCAGAGGTGGCTCCGGCACGGCGGCAAGCGGCGGTCGGCTCCCTTCTCCAGCGACTGGTTCTTCTTCTCCGGCGGGCGGAGCCGGGTTTGGGTTCAGTATGATGCGAGATATTTATACCCGTCTCCCTTAAATCTGGACCGTTCATTGCGGTTGATCTCGACCATCCAATTACGTTTAAAGAGGAAATAAATCTAGATCGTTCATCGCGATTTGACATCGACCGTACGATCGCATTTAAAGAAAGAACGAATCTGGACTATTCATCGCGTTTAAACGCGACCGTTCGATCGTGCCTGAGGAGGGAATAGATTCGAATCGTCCACACGCACGGGAATGTATCTGGGCTGTCCGATCGCGAGCACACTGATTGCTAGCGTAGCCTCCTGCGTGGTACCGAGTCAGCGTGCTTTGCCATGCGGTGTGGTTCGGTTCGTCGGAGCTGCTGACTGAGCAATCCTAGGTGGGGCAATTTTTTTAAATTATATTTTGACCCTCAATTTTTTATTTTTCTTTTAAAAATACATCCCGAATCTAAATTTTCACAATTTTTTCTCAAAATTATTTTTAATTTCATCATCCACCTATTTTTTTTTCTAATTTTACGTTAAAGAAAAATTTATAAATTTATAAATTATATTTTTATATATTTTTTTAAAATTTAAAATTAATACTGTACTAGAGTTCATATATTACAACATTTATATAACAAAATGTTATCAAAATTAATAAAAATAACAATGTAAGCATTAACTCTGCATCACTAATTAATACTTTGAATCTAACCCTTTTGTTCTTAATATATCAGTAATTTTTAAACATATTTTCTCTCTCAATAAATTGCAAATCGGGAACCCTAATGCCATAATAGCTATATATGGTTGAACATGAATGCTAATAATTATTTACAGTTTATCTAAAGTGTCTAGTTATAAATACTAAAAAATTTTGTAAATACTTTTGTTGCTTTAAAGATTTTCATACCTTATAATTTTTTTTCAAAAAGAGAAATTATCACACTTAGAAACAAAAGTAACAAGTTGAACTTGTAATTATTGGAAGCAAATTGGTAGCAACATTTTGTGAAAGTAATATAGAAGAAGTGGTGGGTTAATAATTTTAAGGTCAAAATTGTTAGTATATAATTATTATACATAATATTTAATTATTAATGTAATATATTAAATATATTTTTTAATAATTTATTTTAATATATGATAATAATATTTTTAATATTTATTATTTTGTTATTTAATTTATATCGTAAAATCATTAATTAAATTTAGAGACTTTACATTAAGATGAAAATTTTAATAGTGACAGTAAAACTTTTTATGATTTAATTTAAAATGTTCTTGATCGTTGGATCATCAAAATATGATATTAATGATGATCAAAATATGATATTAATGATATGGTAAGACCAATATATATGTGATTATCTTTACAAAATAATACATGTTGAAATTTGATAATTAAACTATATTTTAGGCTTACCAAGATTTGAATAAACAATTAATTCATTTTTGCTCAAATACCTTCACAAGAGAATAGGTTTAGCAAGATACAAAATTAGTTTCAGGAAAAGAATATTACAAGATTGTATTTATCAAAATCTCATATACACTCGTACCATATCTTGAAAAAATATATATACACACTCGCACCACTAATATATATATACACGAAGGAAAAGAATTGAAAAGAATGATAAGCTACGGCCTTCTGTTGATATGTGTAACGGCCCCAGAGATTTAAATGAAATATATGTATTAAAAATCTCAATTACAGAAGCGTAATAAAATTTTTGATTAACATCTCTTACACAATAACCAAAACGTACTCAAAATATGAAGGAACAAACTAACTAAAAGAAATACTCGAAATAAAAACTATAAATATAACTATAAAGTCTTTAGGCGTCCCCTTCGCCGTCTTCCTGCAGAACGGGCTCGGGAACAACATCTTCCTGATCTGAAATGGTTATATAAGGGATGAGCTACACCAGCCCAGTAAAAACATCACACTATCTCACTGCCAAGGAAGTAAATGTGGGTAGAAAACAAAAATGACTAATGGAGTATAATTTATAACGAACTCGTTTATTAACATAAAAACCTTTACTGTCCACTTACCTCGGTGAGATCCATGAAAACAACATATGAAAACAATAACCTTATAATATCATGAAATCATACACATTTTATAACATAACACATATCATGCCTTTACATTTCAATCATCAGAAAACAGATTTCCTCTTTTACCAGCCTACTAGTATCTCTGGGGATCCATAGGGGGTCTCTGCTACACGTGAACCATTAATATTTACAACCTGATTCCAGGGCCGTCCCCATACCCTGTCCGGTATGGGCGCCAAAATCATGAACCTCAATACCCCGTCCGGTATGAGGGTGAAATGGGCCGTCCCCATACTCCGTTCGGTATGGGCGCCAAAACACATAAGGTCTCCATACCCCGTCCGGTATGAGAGACCACGTTCCCGGTAGGATTCCCTACGGACTCGGTCCGTCCACCATCTCCCAGGATATCTAGTCAGGCTGTCCACATTATCCACTCATCAATTCACATAACCTTTTTACCATTTTCCTTGGTCTCACTCATCCAATCATACACAAACATGTAAACCAGTCATCGACACCAAATAAGACAATACAGTACCGGGTTCACCATAATTCAAACCATAATAAAAGAAACCATAGTTCATGCATACGAGACCATAACATAATTACATCAAACATCATGCTGCATTTAATACTGAAAAATAGATCAAACAATAACAAACCAACACTGTGTTAGACTCGGGCTCTATTGGCAACCTTAATCAATTATACATCTATAAAGTCACAAAGTACAGTTTAGTTATTTATTTAGCTTTAATACCGTGATAGAAAATAGGGTGAGGGGTCCTCACCTATTTTGGGGTCTAAATTCGACTCTACAGTGTGCCTACAGGCTGTCCCTAATTTCCCTGAATTTTCTCCAGAAAACTGAAACGCACTACTGGTACCTGCACGTCCCAAAAAATCTCAAATCAGACCTGGGGCTCCTTTCGACCAATATCGAAATTCCGACACGGTGGCTCCGCCGTGCTCCGGCGACGATCCGCCTCGGGTTGGCCGTTTTCGGTCGAATTCGACCACACTTGCATCGATCCCTGTGATAAAACAACCCTAGGGCTCTCGGGGGGCCAAAAAATCATGAAAAATCGAAACTTACCAGCGGCGGCTCCTCCAGCGTGAGTCGCGTTTTGATGTTTGGCTCCGATCAATCTGTAGAGAAAAGAACGGTGATCATAGTGGTATAAAATTTGCATCGAATGGAGGTCAGGAACGGCCTCGTCGGAGGCAAAAACAGAGGGGGGGCGCGGCGGCGCCGCTGGACTTCGGCTAGGTTTTTCGGCCGTTTGGCCGGTCGTTTAGCTCCGATTTGGCAATAGGCGGACTCAGCATCGAAAAACAAGCAATGGGGAGAAAATTTACCTCGATCGACGGTCGAAAACTTCCCCGGTGCAGCAGCGGGTGGCGGTGGCCGGCTCCTCCAGCGTCTGGTACTTCTTCTCCAGCGAGGCATTGGCGGCTAGGGTTTTGTGGTCAGGTGTAGGTGGGGTTATTTATACCATTTTCCTTTTAATCTCAACCGTCCATCAAGATTAAATCTAGACCGTCCAATCGCGATTTAATTGGGATTAAATCTGCGCCGTCCATCGCGATGCAATCTGGGCCGTCCGTGCCTGATTGAATCTAAGCCGTTCGTACGCGTGCATCTGGGTAGTTCGTGCGCACGTTTGATCTGGCCCGCCCGTGCGCGCGGGAATGGATCTGGGCCGTCCGATCACGCGCACGCGGATCGCCCACGTGGCCCGTCCCCTGGTCAGCATTTCCTTGCCACGCGGCGTGTCCTGGTTGGCCGGGGCTGCTGATCGGGCCGCTGACGTGGGTGCTGACGTGGGTGCTGACGTGGCACAACTTTTTAAATTACGTTTTGACCCCCGGTTTCTGATTTTCGTTTCAAAAACACCCGCAGAATCCAAATTTTCACCCATTTTTCCCAAAAATCAATTTCAATTAAATCCAAATAATATTTTTACCCAATTTTATCATTATTATTAATTTTATTTTCATTAAATTAAATTAAATTAAATCAAATCAAATTAATTAAAAATCTAAAAAATTCAAATACAAAAAAAAGAAAAATAAAATAAAAATAATAATAATAAGAATAAAATTAAAATATTTGGGTGTTACAACTCTCCTCCCTTAAAGAAATTTGGTCCCTCAAATTTGCCTCTTACTCTTGGTCGAACAAATGGGGATACTGGGCTCTAAATTCTGATTCTAGCTCCCATGTGGCGTGTGGTTCTGCCACACGACCTTTACAAATGATATTTTCTGGCTGCGGAGTATTCTACTGTTTCGGTCCGCGATACCGACTGGTACTTCTTCATAAGACAAGTTTTCTTGGAGTGGAAGCGGTTCATGAGCCAAGACATGAGAAGGGTCTGGGTTGTACTTACGTAGCATGGATACGTGGAACATGTTATGGACTCTGGAGAGCTCTGGAGGCAGTGCTAGTCTGTATGCAGCAGTACCAATCCTATCTAAGATTTCAAAGGGTCCAATATATCGGGGGTTTAATTTTCCTCTCCTGCCGAACCTACTAATTCCCTTGAAAGGAGTGACCTTAAGAAACACCCGATCGCCTTTCTCAAATGCTAGGTCTCTCCTCTGGGTATCTGCATAACTCTTCTGTCTACTCTGAGCTGTCTGAATGTTCTTTCTGATTTTAACTATTTTGGACGTGGTCTCTTCCACCAACTTCGGGCCGAACAATATTCTATCGCCCACATCCTCCCAACAAATCGGTGACCTGCACGGGCGCCCATATAACGCCTCATATGGAGTCATGTTGATGCTTGCTTAGTAGCTGTTGTTGTAGGCAAACTCTATCAGGGGTAGATGGTCGTCCCAATGGCCCCCAGAGTCCAGGGCACAAGCTCGGAGCATATCCTCAAACGTACGAATTGTCCTCTCTGATTGTCCATCAGTTTGGGGATGGAAGGCAGTACTAAGAGACAGCTTTGTTCCCATAGCTTGCTGGAAGCTACTCCAAAACCGAGAAGTGAACCTGGGATCCCTGTCGGATACTACTCTCACTGGAACCCCATGCAATATGACTATCTCCCGGATATACATCATTGCCAACTTGTCCAATGAATTGGTCATCTGGCTAGGAAGTGGGAAGACTTGGTAAGTCGGTCAACGATTACCCATATGGCATCATGTCCTGAACGTGCCTTGGGTAGCCCCGATACGAAGTCCATGGTGATATGTTCCCACTTCCACTCCGGGATCGGTAAAGGCTGAAGTAACCCACCTGGGCGCTGATGCTCTGCCTTGACCTGCTGACATACCAAGCATTTAGATACAAAGTCGGCTATGTCTCTCTTCATCCTATGCCACCAAAACTGGGGTTGCATGCTTTGGTACATTTTGGTGCTTCTTGGATGCATGCCAAATTTCGAGCTATGGGACTCCGTCATGATGTCTCTTTTTAATTCACTGTCATATGGGACACACACCCTGTCTTGTAAACGAAGTAATCCATCGGCAGAGATTCAGAATTCTGAGCTCCCTCCCTGTTCTGCATCCTTCTTGCGGGCTACCAGGATGGGGTCAACTGTCTGGGCTTCCCTTATTCTCTGGATTAACTCAGGCTAGACTGTCAGGCGGCCCAAACATGTGACTCTCTTCAGATCATGAAGTCGAACCTGTTGCGTGGCCCCAATTGGTCTGTATTCTGAAACCATCAAATGGGCTAAGATACCTGCACTTTTCCTGCTAGGGCATCTGCTACCACGTTGCCATCACCCGGATGGTATAAGATATCACAATCATAGTCCTTAAGGAGTTCCATCCACCTTCTCTGACGCATATTGAGATCCTTCTGAGTGAATATGTATTTCAAACTCTTATAATCGGTATAGATCTGAAAGGTCTCTCCGTATAAATAATGGTGCCAGGTTTTTAAGGCGTGAATGATTGCGACAAGCTCCAAGTTATGGGTGGGATAGTTCTTCTCATGATTCTTTAACTGTCTGGACCCGTATGTTATAGCCTTTCCATGCTGCATTAGGACACAACTCAGGCCCAGATAGGAGGCATCACTATAAACTCTATATCCTCCCGATCCACTCGGTAAAGCCAGCACAGGTGCAGTGGTCAGCCGTTTTTTTAATTCTGAAAAACTTCTTTCACAGTCTTCATTCCACTCAAACTTGGCATTCTTCTTTGTGAGTCGGGTTAGAGGAGCTGCTAGACTGGAGAATCCTTCAACGAACCTGCGGTAATAACCTGTCATTCCCAGGAAGCTATGGATTTCCTTAACTGATGTCAGCTTCTCCCAGCCAAGTACCGGTTCAACCTTTTCGGGATTCACTGATATCCCTTCCTTCGATATGATGTGTCCTAGGAAGGCGGTCTGCTCAAGCCAGAATCCACACTTACTTAATTTCGCATATAATCTCTTATTTCTAAGGACCTGCAAAACTTGGGCAAGATAGTGAGCATGTTCTTCTCTGCTTTTTGAGTAGACTAAGATATCATCGATGAACACGATGACAAATTGATCCAAGAACTCTCTGAAGACCCTGTTCATCAGATCCATAAAGATTGCCGGGGCATTGGTTAGCCCAAATGGCATGACCAGGAACTCATAGTGTCCGTACCTGGTTCGGAAGGCCGTCTTGGAAATGTCTTCTGTTCTTATCTTCACCTAATGGTAACCTGATCGTAGGTCTATTTTAGAGAATACCTGTGCACCCTGTAGCTGATCAAAGAGGTCATCAATCCGAGGAAGGAGATACTTGTTTTTAACCGTAACCTTGTTCAATCCTCTGTAATCAATTCACAGTCTCAACGTTCCATCTCTCTTCCTTGCAAAAGTGACTCCAGCACCCCAAGGGGACACACTGTGTCTAATAAAACCACTGTCTTGCAATTCAGTGATCTGTTTCCTCAGCTCTTCCATCTTAATGCAGCTCATGTGGTAAGGAGCAACTGAAATGGGATGGGCACCTGGCTGTAGGTCTATAGTGAACTCGACTTCTCTGTCCACTGGCAGACCGGGCAGTTCGTCCGGAAACACATCTGAAAAATCTCGGACTACCAGAATCTCTTGAATACAAATTTCCTTCTTGGGCTTACCTAGTCAGAGAAAACAGCAAGAGTAAGGCACTAGAAGTTAAGAAAACTTGCCATCAAGGAATAAGTACTGAATAATTTTATTAATTTGTAAATGGCTCCTCGTTAGGAGGATTAAATACAACTTTCTTGTTAAAGGAATCTATGGTGGCGTGATACGCCGCTAACCAATCCATTCCTAAGATTACATCAAAATCCCCCGTGTCTAATCTTATCAGGTCTACACTCAGTTTCCTATTTACTATCTCCACGGTACAAGCCCTATAGATAACTTTCCCTAGTAGTGTTTCACCCCTGGCAGTAGACACAAACAACAATGAATCAAGTTTTTTAGGTGATACATTAATTTTGGAAGCAAAAGCATGTGAAACAAAAGAGTGCGATGCACTAGTATCAAATAAAACATGAGCAATATGATCACAGATAGTATACA